CTTAAGACTTAGGAAATGAACCAGAAACTGGGAGATACTTCCCATCATAATTAATCTCAAATGCCAGTAAAATAAATGGTTCAACTCAGGCAATGTCATAAGCATAAAAAACTATTAGGTAATTCAGAGGTTTTTGCTGGTAAGCTCAGAAGTAACCCTTATTTTTTAGGGATGTCAAGCTACAAGCAGAAAAGGGTACTTCAGTGCCTTACAATAAGGAATGGGAAACATTTTCTGAAAATTGTACTCCCATGCATATCAATCAGGTAGCTTCACCTAATAAATGCTGTCGTTACACTAAATTCCTTCTGTACTCAAAGCTAATTTCTGTAATTCAATTCCATGATTTGTTACTCTCTGCACATACATGAAAATACCACTATTACAGGTTTTGTCTGGAAACCTGGAGGTTTCCCTTGGTTAACTGTTTCTTTGGAGGTTTTGTGTTTTGGTTTTGTTGGTTTTTTTTTTTAAATAACCATCATCAAATATTCCATCAAATGATCATTCAATTTTTTTATTTACAACCAAAGGCATCACTTATCAGAACTAGCAGATGTGGTTGCTTGGTGAGCTACTGAAATTTCACATACAAAACAGGAAAATATGCCATGCTAATACTCTGTTTTCAACTTTGAAAAGCCCAGCAAGTCAGTTAAAATCTCCTCTTTGTGAGATAAAAAAACATTATGCAAAAGACCACTAAAGTTTAAACATATTAATAGCTTTTTCCTATGAATGAGTGAATAGAAAGATAGGACTTGGGCAACATCTGCATTTTTCTCTAAATTTATATTGCCACTTAGGTCTACAGTAACTATTATGATGGTACAGCTAAAAGTCATTGTGGGAGCATTGATCCAAATATAAAAAAACAACAGTGGGAGAAGTTTTGCTTCATACACGTTTAGCAACTGACATCTTCCCTCATTTGTGCATTAATCAGTAACAGACCTATCTGAGCATCCTGCTACAGGAGGTGATTTGACTTTCACGAGTTTCCCTAAGAGCAGAAACATCATCAGGAACAATTTCAAGGAAATAATTATGGTCTAGACAGATTTATGACTTCTAAAGACCTAATCCAAAGCACATTAATGTCAGTGGAAGGACTCCCATTGACATCAAAGGCCTTTGGATCAATCCCCAACTGCTGAGGGAATGAATTCAGAGCAATAACGATGGTGGACTAAATGCACACTTGCAGTTGAAATGTTACCACCCAGACCTTTTTATTCCTCAAATCAGATTAAAAAGTCATTTTCTGCTATTTCACAATTACTTCCAGATGCGCAGCATCTCAAATGGCATTTTCATCCATCTCTATGAACCAAACGTGCATAGAGACAGAGAGGTTCTACACTGCCTGAACTAATAATACAAATGAAAACCACAAGGGAAAATAATTTGTAGATGAAGTTAATGGTTTAAACGTGAAGTGAGAAACCCTGAACTTCATCTATTCCTTCTAACTACGCTGGGATAGGGCTGCTAGGCCCACCACTTCTTTGTTTATTGTCAGAGTAGATTTCTTCTACTTAAATTTTCAATATTTTTCTCTAGTCTCCTAAACAAAACAGAAGAATACATGTACATCAGTGTTAGCCTCAAACTTGGCAGCCTAAAAACTGTCAGAAATGTCAATATCATATACTCTCTGCTTAATAACAGCTCTGCTGTCCCTTCTGTCTTCTTAAATGTCTATTTACATACTAAATAATTTGAAGCATCGCTCTTCTCTGACCATGTTAATCTAGTTTCATTCCCTTCGCAGTCGATAACATTTTAAGACTGTAAAATGAAATGCCAATGTCGTGTGCAAGTGGAAACCCATTCAAAGTTTTACACAGTCAAACCCAGTTCCAAGATGTGACTGATCAGTCGCCAACAATGTGTGTTGCTCTGAAGTGCATTCTATGGGAATAACACATCTTTCATTCTCCCATAAACAATTAACTCTGTGCATTTTAATACACCGGACACTAATAAGCCTCTGAGCTTACTCTCAAAAAAATTTTCAAGACACACCAAAAGCAGCAACATACTTTCGTCATGATTTGGCACCATCTCTAAATGAGCTCACACTTCAGTGCATTTTGTTATCAGAAGCACAAGAACATTGCACCTGGAATATAAGGACTGAAAAAGTATGAGCACTGCAATTTAAATTTGCTGACATTCATTAGTTTGACACCAATAACCAAATTATTCCATCAATTCTCAAAGGCAGAAGGCAACCCATGGGAATGATACGTGCAAAACCCTCATGCATTAAAATACATGTAAATTATGCTCATAGGGAGCTGCTCAAGAAAAAAAAAATTGTCAGGGAAATAATGCATTTAAGAAAGTTAAATTATCAAGATTATAATTTCACAGAATCATAGAATGGTTTGGGTTGGAAGGGCCCTTAAAGACCATCTAGTTCCACCCCCCCTGCCATGGGCAGGGACACCTTCCACTAGCCCAGGTTGCTCAAAGCCTCATCCAGCCTGGCCTTGAACACTTCCAGGGATGGGGCATCCACAGCTTCTCTGGGCAACCTGTTCCAGTGCCTCTCCACCACCCTCTCCGTGAAGAACTTCTTTCTGATATCTAATCTAAACCTTCCCACTTTCAGTTTAAACCCGTTACTTATTACCCGTTATTTCAGGAATATGAAATTCTCCAGCATCAAACCATGACATTACTACCATTTTTTTTTTTTTTTTCAATCTTTACACCTTATCGGCATGAATATACACAGTAGGTAACACCAGACCCTTGTACAAGGTAAAAATGAGGAATTATCTTTGCAGGTAATACTGAACTTCACTATGATGGAAATTTTTTCTTGCTTTTACATGCACCTCTAATGTCATTCCCCCTATTCCCACTTGGAACCCAGCCTTTTCAACATGTTCAAGGCAATGCGGTTTGGCCACCTGTAGGCTGCTTCGAGCCACACAAGATGACACAGAACTGCACACCACTTTTATCACTGAATGCATAGTTTAGACAATTTGCTGAATTTTAAAAAGGTACATTAGCTTTACTGAGGTGTGTCAGGTAAGGTAAGACAGTCCTCTTTTCCCTATGAATGTATTACAAATGTAACCAGACGTCTCCGAGGTCGATGACTCAAAGCCAACTTAGACACTATGAAAAGAATCAGCATAACCAGATGGACATACACATAAACCAATATATTGAGTATACTTGGCTTCAAGGACAATAAATCATGGTATTATTTTTATGATGAAAACATAATGGGAAAAAAAACACTATCAGCTTTTTAAAAATTATTTGGAATACCAGTATAACTCGTTTGAGGGGTATGAATGCACTTGACTTTGAAGTGATAATTCCCTATTAAATGCGTTCCTCTAGAGCACGAGAAAGCATTTGCTCCTAATGCTGCCTCTTCCTACATTTCACATCTATCAATTAAAATAAAGTCAGAGAAGACATTTCGGTTGTAAGTTCCACATCCAAGGAGTATACTGCTGACTTAGCAGGCAATGCAGTTACTTCACAAAACCAGGTCTTCAGCCAGAGCAGCAAAGGCCAAATTTTTATAGCAGGATGGTGAGAAACGTGTTATTAATTTCCTCTTTCCTCCAGGGTGCAGGTGACTGCTATGGCAGAGGAAGGCATAGAAAAGCAACCACCGGGACTATTGCTCCTGTGAATGCTGCTCTGGTAGACTGAATATGGCTAAGAAAAAATAATTTCCCCATAAGGCAGGTGAACTCCTTCCCCATTTTGTTATTACTATCCAGAAAACCTATGATAAGGGAGACTCATTGCTCTCCTCTTCCTCATTCCACATTTCTGCAGTATTTTAGGATATTTCTGAGCCTTTGAAGACTCTCCCTTGACTCAAATCCCAGCAATACATGCTTTGTTATATAAATATTTGTTTATGCAAATATATTTTAACTCAAGCATTTAATCTTGCCAGGTAAACAGAAGAAAGATTATGCTGATATACTTCTCACAGAAGACTTAGCTCATGATTTTAATTTCCTGTTTTTATTAGCTTACCTCACTCGATGAAAATATTAACACATCTTGAAAAGTACGTTTTATTTTCTGTTTTCTTAAGAAAATGCTTTGTTGCTACCACCTCATTAGAGGCATCAGCTTTTAATTGGAACAAGTTTTAAATTGAAAGATGTGATTGAAAAAACAGTGCTGATGTGCCACCACAGTACTTTAAATGCCCACATGTTCGTACCTAAAGTTGTTTTTATGCTGAATATCAATATGCAATTAGAAAGAGACAATTTTAAGTAGTGCTGGGCCACTGCAGAAGAGTACTCTTTCAGCATCTGTAAGCTTCTTTTTTGTTTATGCTGCCAGAGTCTATCAAACTCTCGTGTTGACACAATCAAGCAACCAAAATGAATGGCTATAAATACAGTCAAAGCAAGAGATAACAATAAGCAGAACAACTAAGCCCTCATTCGAAGATGAAACAGCATTTTTGAGTGAGCAGTATGTGATTAACCCGCTGTATGTGGGGTCAATATGATTTATTCTCACAGCTATGCAGCCAGCCTTAGCCCTAGGCTTCACTTGCTATCAAAGACACGAGCCCTCCTCAAATCAGTCCTCCCCTATGTCTAGCTAACACTCAGAGATCTTACTTAGGAAAATTAACTGTTGTGTCCTTCATTTAAATTATTTCCAATATTATCATAACAGACACTCTACCAAGCGTGCTTTCTAGTCTCCAGTCCATCTCCTGCAATGCTCCAGCAGCCTAAAAGCCGATCTTGAAATCCACAGACAGAGAAAAGAAAGTAGTACTAATTTTGCCTAAATTCTGAGTACTGCTAGAACGGTACTCTCTTGGCCCAATACCAAAGGATAAAAAGCAGTAGCCCATTATGTTTTAAGACAAGCAAGTGGTTCAAAAGAGAAGGACAGTACTGGTTTCGGTTCAAACATTTAACAGAAACTCCATGTCATTAAATAAAAAGCTTCTTTTTTGCTTGGAGGAATGAACCTCTTACCTTTTGTAGCTATTCGAACACACTGAGTTTTGGTTTCCTGTTGAGGAGGGAAAAGTAAAGAAAACAGTCAGATGAGGCTGGGGTTGGTTTTGCCCTCCCCATGCCCTAAATTCATCCTAGATCTGCTGATCAGCTAGGGCAACTCAACAAGGTAGCTCAGGGCTCTGGGCTTAGCAGGGGAGAAGAGGCTGGGCGATTCTGCCTTTACAAAAGCTGGATGAAATCTACACATTGAGCTGTACTATCCAGGACCACGAAGGGCAGGAAAGGTGCAAGACAGCCCAGAAGCAGCCACATTTCAGATTATTCAACTCAAATGGAAATCATACCATATGAATGGTGCAGTGGAAAAAAGGGGAAGACTGGTGCTCCTGTTTATTTCACAGCACAGAAATCCCAAGCCAGCATTGACCTCCAGCAGCACCAAGCAGCAAAGAAGGTACATTTGTTCAGCACTGTGTCCAAAGTAACTTGTCTTGCTGCATCCTGATAATCTTGAATAGAGTCATCTGAAGCATGTCAACAACGTGCTCCCTCATGTTTTTGAGTGTGGAATTAGTATAGAAACAGTCCAGGTATCCCTTCACACATGACACAGTTAATCTACAATCTATATAACGTGTCCAGGAAAGACAGTGATTTGACAGTGATGTGCTTCAGCAGAAGCTGCATATGCAAACAGTTTTTATGTTTGTACTCCCCTCATCCCACACCAACCCTTCAGAAGTTTGGTCAGAAGCTGAAACAAATGGAACAGAGAAATTACTTGGCTATGCAGTTTGGACAACTTGAACAGACGAGGGTCAGTCATAAATGGGTTTTCTGACCTTTTTGCACATTATGCAATCATTTTAAAGGCAAATATACTGAAATAGCAGAAGGTTGTGTGAGAAAATGCAGCTCCTGCTGTATCAGATCACTCTAAACAATATTAGTATGTAATGAGAAAATACAATAATGACAGTTTCATTCTATAAAATATGGTCCCCTCTAGTCCTGCACCCCTCAGCACTCCATCCCTGAATACATCCCCTGGGATCTCTCTCCTTCTGAAGGTTCCTGAGCAACAGGCAAAATATGTTGATGCTGTCTTGTAAACACAGCGTGTAAAGAATGAGCAAAGCTGTGAGTTGAGGCGTCCTATAAGTGTTCCACAAAAACAATTATTAATTCTACATGAAAGTCCCACAAGGTTTATCAATATAATCTTACCTAACTAGTGTTCTCCCCAGCTATTAGATTTACTTGTCCACTTCTGTTCAAAATGTCTGTGAGGACCACAGACTAACCCTCATCCCAACCCTACACTGTAGTGCGGAGCATACTACTTTACTGCCCTTTGACTATTTCGGTGACCTACTGGTTTATAGTAAAGCACCTGTTTAAATACTCTGCAGCCCAGAGAGTACCTTGAAGCCACTAGACCTCTGTCTGGGCAGAATGCAGGGCAGTCTAGCCAAGACCTCCCCCCAAATCCCTCTAGGAACAGAAACCTGACCAAAAGTTTTAAATCATACAGAAAAAAACATTTTAGGATTAAAGTCCCTCACAAGCTGAAATAAAGGGAAAAAAAAAAACGTAGATGACGAGGGAAGAACAAATTATCTGCCAAAGTGTAAAAGCTCAAATAAAGATCTATTTTTGTGTTGCATGTTTTTGTTTTACTTCTTCCTCCCATTTAGTTCTTGGAGAATGAAACAAATTTCCTTACAATTTAGACAGCTGGAAGCCAACAAGAGTAAAGGAAATATATGTAGCAGGTGGGGGAAATATGAATGAGTGACTAGCAGTTAGCTTTTATTTTGCTTTCTTTGCTTTACACAGGTCTGTACATGAGTATATAGAGTACTGGTGCATCTCAGTAGCTTTCAGTCTAGCTGTCCTTTCTAGTCCCTTTCTGACTTGCCTAGACACTTATATGCAGACTCCTATGGACATATTACTGCAATTTACTTCAGTTTTCTACACTATAAATCAAAATCTTAAAATTTTTAAATATCTAAAACTTCCATGTCTACCACGTTTTTCCTTCCTCACTGATCACACTTCTCACTCCCTCATTTTTATTTATGAGAGGAAAAGCTATTCAAGAGCAACAGCACGGGGCTTGCAGAGCCACTGTCGTTCTTCCCACCTGAACACCCCTCCCTGTGCTTTTCCCCCTTCCATACGCACGGAGAGCCAGCAGCAGTACTCAGCGACAGACTTAAAAAGAAACACCACAGAGGTAATGAAGGTGAGCGACAGCCATACTCTTACAACTGCACAGCAGAGGGGCAAGCCTGAAGTACACCTTTCCAGAAAGGCTCTCAAAAACACACTGTGGGCCTGGGGTTACTTCTGCTCAAGCCAATTTTTACTTTTTATGTGACATTCCGTGTGAGAGTCTCAAAGTGTTTGTAACATTTCATTAGGCGCTGAGCAGACCGCATTCTGTTTATCCTGCAGTAATTTAATCTTCTGAAGTGCGCAAGTACTGAGAATCGGGGAAAGGGCTGTGAAGTTATTTACCGAGGAGGCAGAGTCACAGCACTGAAATTACTTCGCTGAGACGATTACTACGAGATGTATTAAACTTGTGTCTAGTAGCAGTTACTCTGATACAAGGGCGGTGTGAAATGTGAATGGCACGCTGCCATGCTGTCACAGCACGGAAGGGATTACAGCGGTGCCACTGCCAACACCTAACACGTCCAACTTCGTCAGTCCTAACTGTCACTGTGGGCATGGCTTTGACTCCTACCAGTCGTGGTTGGCACTTACCTTCTCAACGCTGCTCATGGCCTGGAAATAGATGTTGTAGCCTTTGCGAGGAGCCAGCGGCGGGTTCCAGAAACCCTGGTAAGTCCTGTTGTCACCCACGGTAAAGGGGGCTGGTTCGGGTAGGTTTCCTGGGGGCAGCTCAGCAGCAAAATAATACGGCGACCCTCCACTAAGAGCGGTCTGATAGGTGACGGGGATTTGGTAGCACTCCATGGCACCTGTTTCTCGCTTTGTTCGGTGTGGGTGCAGCTCCTCAACAACAATCTGGTAGGCACTAGTGAGACAGAGAAATACCAGCGTAACTTTAAGATCCCCTGCTAGGGTCAAATCTCTAGTCTCAAAAACATTAACCCAATTGCTTTGTGTAAACGTGAAGAGAAAACAAAGAAAAGAAAAAGGGGAAAGACAGCAGATGCATGGATGCAGAGAAGAAACAAGACTTGAAATACAGCAAATGTAATTCAGCCACTGGAAAAAAGCAGCAACCATTTTTTCAGGAAAACACCATCACAAAGCTATACACAACCTCCTCACAATTTTTTTTTTTTTAAGGCTTTCTGCTTTTGAAGAAACACAGGAATGAATCTAATCTGACTTTAAACTGCAATAGATTAAACTCTTGACTAATCTAAACCATCTGAAGTTAGCATTTTCCTTTGAAATTATATTAGAGAAAGCTGAGCTTCAAGGCCCAACATAATGACTGCCTCCAGGCTGTGCTTGAAGCACCAATTTGCAGTTGTCATATCATTAGAGACAGAATGTGCTGACAGGCTTCTCCACCTCTTGACCTTGCTGTGGCTTCTATCTTGGCTCAGAGCTATGCAGATCTAAAGTACAAGTGACATGCTGTAATACAAGCACAGATGGACAGAAATCTGTCCATTCCACCAAAATAGACTGCCTCATTCCTCTACAGTTGTCAATGATAAAACGTTACAAATTGCTGAAGCAGATGGCATTCAGCCTATTAAAACACCATCCCAACCTCCCAATACCTCTCCTGATATGGTCCACGGCTTGGTCACATTTCAAAATCACCTGCTCAAAATGGAACAGGTAATTACAATTCTTCTTTCTCCTTTAGGGGAACTACTTAACTGTAGGATGTTACCAACTTATTATCAGCTTCCTCTGCTCTGTAGAAGTACAGAACTTACAAACTGAGAGCCAGAGGAAATTCTTCAGTTTATAAGAAAAAAAGAAAAGTCTGTGAAGTTTTAAGAACTGTATAGAATCACAGAATGGTTTGTGTGGGAAGGGACCTTACAGACCATCTAGTTCCACCCCCCCTGCCATGGGCAGGGACACCTTCCACTAGACCAGGCTGCTCAAAGCCTCATCCAGCCTGGCCTTGAACACTTCCAGGGATGGGGCATCCACAGCTTCTCTGGGCAACCTGTTCCAGTGCCTCACCACCCTCTCTGGGAAGAACTTCTTCCTGATATCTGATCTAAACCTCCCTGCTTTCAATGTAAACCCGTTACCCCTTGTCCTGTCACTACAGGCCCTTGTAAAAAGTCCCCCCCGCTTCCTTGTGGCCCCTTCCGGTACTGGAAGCCTGCAATAAGGTCTCCCCGGAGCCTTCTCTTCTCCAGGCTGAACAAGCCCAAGTCTCTCAGCCTGTCCCCATAGCAGAGGTGCTCCAGCCCTCTGAGCATCTTCATGGCCCCCTCTGGACTCACTCCAACTGGTCTATATCCTTCCAATGTTGTGGGTTCCACAGCTATGTATGTACAAATACGCACATATACATACACATGTGTATGTGCACACAATTTCTCATTTATATGCAGATATATTTGAGGACCTTACGAAAGATTAGTAAGAAAATATGCATAAGTATGTAGACAAGACCTGAATCTGTTCAATTCAACTGGCAGAACTGCCTGTCTTGGTTTTGTCTTGAAGCTTTCTAAACAGAAAAAGTAAAATTGAACGGGCTTCTTGAAATGTCACTGCATTGCTGCAGGGACTCCGAAAGGCAAAGGCAAAGACAATCCTCCTTATTTCTGAACTTACAGGGCAGCATTAAATTATTTCATCAATTTTCTCGGCCACTACCACCCAGAAAACCCAATAAATGCAACGGCAGAGATGAAGGATGATACTGGGGAATGGAAGAAAGCCGAGAAGAAAAGAAATAAGAATTTAGTTTCACGTTTGTCTTGAGCTGAAAAGAAGTTAGCATCCTCTTTTCCTAGCACCTAACAAATTAAGGAGGAAAGCCTCTTCCCTTTCAGTGTGACCAAGAAGAATATAAAAAGTCATCTCATTTTTTTAACTGTTGGTAAAGTGAAGAACATAAACAAATAAAAAATAAAAGATGAGTTAGTTCCCGGGTTCTCCATTACTTATGAACTGTCTGTGAACAGAACTTGGTTATAAATCATCTTCTGTGGTAAACTCTGTGTAGTAACCACGTAGAGTAAATGTGGCCTGCACCAACAAATCACTGCATGAGACCTCTGCGCATCCAGAATCTTTCTTCACGCTTCAAAATTAAAATACTAGCAAAAAACCCTAAAAGCATTGATATTTTACAAAGAGGAAAGGAAGTAAAAGAGTAAAAATAATTTTCCTTTAAAATGTCCTGCAGGAAGAAATGACTACTGCCATTGATTTCCTCCCTGGCCTAGTTCTGGACACAGGCAAGATTAAAACCACTGCTCCCAAACTGGGCAGCCAAACAACTGGAGAGTACTGGGAACACAGGCACCACCACTCCCTCCCTTCCGCAGTCTTCCCTCCTGAGCTGCCAACGGACTGGGACCAACACAAATTCTGCTCTCTGAAGTGCCAGGAGAGCAGGAAACTTGTCATCTGCAACACCGTGCCAGCTGAGGAGGAGAAAGACAGCAGGGAGAGCGGAAGGACAGTGCAACGTCTACAGGGATGGAGGCAATCGTCTCCTGGAACAGCCTGGTTTGCCAGGCAGCGCAGAAGCCGAGATCCACCACACTTACCAAATTAAACCCCTTTCCCCATTTTATAGAACAAGGGGTAAATGAGGTATCTTTTTTTAAAAGGCACACGTCCTTTTTAAGGGTCAAGTCTCTTTGGACCAAAAATCAAAGACGAAGGGCATGAGAGTTAAATATTAGGAAAGTCTCATTTAATAGCTTTCTTTGAAAACATGCAGTAATTTTTTGATGTAATACAAAAGATAGGGCAAAATTTTAAGCATGAGATCACAGTAAGATGTGAAGGTTCTGAAAAAGTCTCAAATAAAGTAATTTACATAAAATATGTTTCTAAACATAATGCTTTTTGGGCCCTTACATGTGAAAAGCTACAAAACGTAGAAAACAAGGAATAGATATACACATTGTAGCCATCTGCATTTATACAATTACTTTTAGTTAAACCACTGCATTGGGTTTGTGTGGCAGGGTTTTGGACCTCCTGCTGGCCAAGGCCAAGACAATCAGTGACCATAGTAGCACCTCTGGGATAACATGTCTGATAAGGAAAAAAAAGAATGAGAAGAGAAATCTCGCAGAGAGAGCAAGATGCGAGGGAATCAACTCTGCAGACACCAAGGTCAGTGGAGAAGGAGGGGGAGGAGGTGCTCCAGGCACTGGAGCAGAGATTCCCTGGCAGCCCAGGAGAGGGCTGGAGACATGGTGAGAGGGCAGGCTGTATCCCTGCAGCCATAGAGGGTCATGGGGGAGCAGATACCG